ATGAAAATACCTGTACTTCAAGCAGCATCGGTTCTGTATAAATAAAGACTATGAAATGCAGTAATAAAAGGATCCTCCGCAGTCTAAGAACGGTGCTTTCTGGGATGGAAAAAACAAAAATCAGGCCCGACGGGCAAATGTCATGATTAGCAGTGAGGACGGCGTGACAAGGCAAGGACTGCCGCTATCCAATGAGCAGACACAAGAAAGCCCAGCATCTCTCAGCAGCCATCACACAGTGGTTCCACACCAATCAAGGGCCACTCCACCGAAAAGTGATATATATCCAGCGAGCAGCGGAGGATGGGCAACCCGATGACTTTGTATGTCTTGGAGATGCTGGCCGGGAGATCTCCTTCCACACAAGCTGCGGTCGTCTCATCCCTCCCGTTGCATACTCCATAATATACAAGTCATTCAACAGGGGCAGCAAGACCCTCTTCATGGCTGCGGTGAGTGTGCAGGCCGGGAATCCCTGAGACACAAACTTTAGGTGGTTGAACTCTCCAGCTTGCCGTGGAAATATCAGTCTGAAGTGGAGTGACCCGTTAAATGAACTCCTATTTTACTTAAAAAGAATACACAGAGCAGCGGAACCTGCTATGTCAGGAATGCCTTTCCAATATATATATATATATATCAGGGGCTAAATTTCATTTCATTGGCCCCAGGAATCAAATTGATGGCGGTACTTAAAAATCCCATTTGTCGTCATTATGAAAAGTCTAAAAATAACAGTCAGTTCTGGAAGCAACAACAAAAAGTTGTCTGGGAGGAAAAGTAAAATGAAGGATGTGCATCTACTGACGCAGGGGGTGGGGAAGAGGACACGTCTGGAGTTTGGGTATTGCTGTGCAGGGGGCCCTTGCACAAGGATCTGACTCTAGCCCGGGCTCCTCGGGTGGAAGCTCCATTCAGCCACAGTTCAGTTCACGCCTGGAGTCTGGCCCCCTACAGACGTTGCTTTTTGCTCTGTTTAGGGACCCCCGATGCGCTCTCATTGTCTAAAGCGCTCTCTCTGCCGTTGGTCTCGATGAAGCCGTTGGTGGCTGGGTGCAGCTCTTCGGCGCACTCCTCTATGGCGGAGGGTGGAGACTCTCCTCCCTCCAGCTTGTACTGCATGTCGCGCAGTTTGGACACGGCTTTGTCTATGGTTGATACGTTGATCAGGTTGAAGTCGTGCATACTGATCATGTGGAGCATAAAGTTACGGCACAGGCTCTTCTCAATGATTCTCTCTCCATAGTTCTCCACAAACAACATACAGGCATGATTCATTTGATTGTCAGCAATGAACCTGGAATGAACAAGATGGTGTCAGCCCTGCAGCCTGGAGGAAGAGCGATAGTGAACAATCCAGGACAACATGGCCGATGACAAACTCCGCTCACTTTCCAGTTTTGTCCTAGATTGTTCACTTCTCCAAAACTCTTCCTTTAGTGAATAACCCCCCCCCAGTCATGTAGATGCCCATTCTACATCCCGCAAATGTGGTTTACAAAACTGGAGCCCATCAGACCCCCAACATCCAAAATGAGGCCGAGCCTTTTCAAAGTCTGCTTACCCGTGCTTCATGACATGCAGGTTCCACATCTTCATCACTTCCTTCTCCCCTTCATTGACATCAGAAAACTCCTCAATTTGCTGCAAGGGAGACAACATGTCAGGATACAGCCACATATGTGTATGTTTGTATGTAGACTGTACAGTGGTGTGAAAAAGAAAGTACACCCTCTTTGAATTCTATGGACATAATACACATTTGATCCTTAGCAGGACTTAAAAAGAAGGAAATACAACCTCAGATGACCACCGCCACCACATATGACACGTGTCATTAGTTACAAAGCCTAAATCAGCCAGTGACTTACTGTAATGGTTTTCTCCCTCAGCCATTCGGGGTCCTTCTCATCCTCGCTGTCCACCTCCATCTCCTGGGGTCGGAGAGGAAGGCACGTGTCACTGTGGAAGTACAGTCTGTTATGGCCACTGCTGTACGTCCTCTGCTGTTCCACCTCTCCGTCCTCAGACTCGTAGAACTCCGACATGCTGGCTTTTGTGCGCTTTGGCCTGGGAACAGGATTGAAATGGTTTAATGTGATTATTCATCGGCTCCAGAAAATCCCACCCCGACTAGTGTTCTAGGCGGTACAAGTGGGAAAGGGGCCATTCCCCGGATCCTACAGTGAGTATACATGGTTCATATTCCGTTCCATCATAGTCACAACTCAGGTAAGGAGTCTAACAACCTTCTGTGGTGGTCTAAGACCTCTGCAGAGGCCAGGAGATGGTGAACGTCCTACCTGCACACCAGGATGTGGGTGATGGGGGTCCTCTTCACAGGCCCATTCCGACTAAAAGCAAATCCCGGCTGGCGATGAATGTCCTGGGGGTTCCCAGCATAGGATCCATCGTAGCACTCGTTGATGGAGACATCAATTCTTGCACCTTTGGGATGATACTGCAGGAACAATAAGGAGAATGTATGTAAGCTCCAGGAGATCATCGACATAATGAACGCATCAGGAGAGTCTACTAGAGGTGCCCGGGTGACAAACATTTACAACTATAAAGTTTTCATTTCACCCTCCCCACATATGTCCGCTCTCCATATATTCTAGTGCTGCAGCACATATCCTCATTCCAACTTCCAGGATGCATGACAATCAGTGACATTCAACCTACATACTGAGCCCTGGACACAGCACCTGGGGGTACCATCATGAAGTGTCCTAGACACAGAATGCTGCAGAGACGGGCAATAATCATCACACAAGTGTGATACTCCACTGAATGAAGAGGACCCGGGGACATCACATGATCACCCAGAACACAACTGGGACAAATGTATAAAAGGGGAATATCTTTGGGGGGGGGTGAGATGATTGGGCTCCAATGTGATACCATTTAGCAGACGCCGGGAGGATTAGAGGGGATCAGCATCCAAAACTTACCACATAATTGAAGATGAAGCGGCTGTGACACAGCTTGAGGTGTTTCAGTAAACTATAAAGTTTGCGGCAATTCAGCGTGCACCATGGACAATGGAGGTCATCTCTGGCCTCCGTCTGCTGGCGAGTGTTGTTATTGTATAAAAACTAGAAGACACAAAACCACCAGAACAAGCGTGACTCCCTACAGTACAGATAACCAGGTCCAGAAGATAATCTCAGGCAAGTAATCACTGGAATATGTACACCATCACCCCCCGAGGGGAAGATAGAGAAGTAATCACTGAGGTATTTACAACGCTAGTACAATATATGTACAGCGCCACTACAAGGGGGAGACATGGAAGGGGTCAGTGGAGGATATATGTACAGCGCCACTACAAGGGGGAGACATGCAAGGGGTCCGTGGAGGATATATGTACAGCGCCACTACAAGGGGGAGACATGGAAGGGGTCAGTGGAGGATATATGTACAGCGCCACTACAAGGGGGAGACATGCAAGGGGTCAGTGGAGGATATATGTACAGCGCCACTACAAGGGGGAGACATGGAAGGGGTCAGTGGAGGATATATGTACAGCGCCACTACAAGGGGGAGACATGGAAGGGGTCAGTGGAGGATATATGTACAGCGCCACTACAAGGGGGAGACATGGAAGGGGTCAGTGGAGGATATATGTACAGCGCCACTACAAGGGGGAGACATGGAAGGGGTCAGTGGAGGATATATGTACAGCGCCACTACAAGGGGGAGACATGGAAGGGGTCAGTGGAGGATATATGTACAGCGCCACTACAAGGGGGAGACATGGAAGGGGTCAGTGGAGGATATATGTACAGCGCCACTACAAGGGGGAGACATGGAAGGGGTCAGTGGAGGATATATGTACAGCGCCACTACAAGGGGGAGACATGGAAGGGGTCAGTGGAGGATATATGTACAGCGCCACTACAAGGGGGAGACATGGAAGGGGTCAGTGGAGGATATATGTACAGCGCCACTACAAGGGGGAGACATGGAAGGGGTCAGTGGAGGATATATGTACAGCGCCACTACAAGGGGGAGACATGGAAGGGGTCAGTGGAGGATATATGTACAGCGCCACTACAAGGGGGAGACATGGAAGGGGTCAGTGGAGGATATATGTACAGCGCCACTACAAGGGGGAGACATGGAAGGGGTCAGTGGAGGATATATGTACAGCGCCACTACAAGGGGGAGACATGGAAGGGGTCAGTGGAGGATATATGTACAGCGCCACTACAAGGGGGAGACATGGAAGGGGTCAGTGGAGGATATATGTACAGCGCCACTACAAGGGGGAGACATGGAAGGGGTCAGTGGAGGATATATGTACAGCGCCACTACAAGGGGGAGACATGGAAGGGGTCAGTGGAGGATATATGTACAGCGCCACTACAAGGGGGAGACATGGAAGGGGTCAGTGGAGGATATATGTACAGCGCCACTACAAGGGGGAGACATGGAAGGGGTCAGTGGAGGATATATGTACAGCGCCACTACAAGGGGGAGACATGGAAGGGGTCAGTGGAGGATATATGTACAGCGCCACTACAAGGGGGAGACATGGAAGGGGTCAGTGGAGGATATATGTACAGCGCCACTACAAGGGGGAGACATGGAAGGGGTCAGTGGAGGATATATGTACAGCGCCACTACAAGGGGGAGACATGGAAGGGGTCAGTGGAGGATATATGTACAGCGCCACTACAAGGGGGAGACATGGAAGGGGTCAGTGGAGGATATATGTACAGCGCCACTACAAGGGGGAGACATGGAAGGGGTCAGTGGAGGATATATGTACAGCGCCACTACAAGGGGGAGACATGGAAGGGGTCAGTGGAGGATATATGTACAGCGCCACTACAAGGGGGAGACATGGAAGGGGTCAGTGGAGGATATATGTACAGCGCCACTACAAGGGGGAGACATGGAAGGGGTCAGTGGAGGATATATGTACAGCGCCACTACAAGGGGGAGACATGGAAGGGGTCAGTGGAGGATATATGTACAGCGCCACTACAAGGGGGAGACATGGAAGGGGTCAGTGGAGGATATATGTACAGCGCCACTACAAGGGGGAGACATGGAAGGGGTCAGTGGAGGATATATGTACAGCGCCACTACAAGGGGGAGACATGGAAGGGGTCAGTGGAGGATATATGTACAGCGCCACTACAAGGGGGAGACATGGAAGGGGTCAGTGGAGGATATATGTACAGCGCCACTACAAGGGGGAGACATGGAAGGGGTCAGTGGAGGATATATGTACAGCGCCACTACAAGGGGGAGACATGGAAGGGGTCAGTGGAGGATATATGTACACCGCCACTACAAGGGGGAGACATGGAAGGGGTCAGTGGAAGATATATGTACAGCGCCACGACAAGGGGGAGACATGGAAGGGGTCAGTGGAAGATATATGTACAGCGCCACGACAAGGGGGAGACATGGAAGGGGTCAGTGGAAGATATATGTACAGCGCCACGACAAGGGGGAGACATGGAAGGGGTCAGTGGAAGATATATGTACAGCGCCACGACAAGGGGGAGACATGGAAGGGGTCAGTGGAAGATATATGTACAGCGCCACGACAAGGGGGAGACATGGAAGGGGTCAGTGGAAGATATATGTACAGCGCCACGACAAGGGGGAGACATGGAAGGGGTCAGTGGAAGATATATGTACAGCGCCACGACAAGGGGGAGACATGGAAGGGGTCAGTGGAAGATATATGTACAGCGCCACGACAAGGGGGAGACATGGAAGGGGTCAGTGGAAGATATATGTACAGCGCCACGACAAGGGGGAGACATGGAAGGGGTCAGTGGAAGATATATGTACAGCGCCACGACAAGGGGGAGACATGGAAGGGGTCAGTGGAAGATATATGTACAGCGCCACGACAAGGGGGAGACATGGAAGGGGTCAGTGGAAGATATATGTACAGCGCCACGACAAGGGGGAGACATGGAAGGGGTCAGTGGAAGATATATGTACAGCGCCACGACAAGGGGGAGACATGGAAGGGGTCAGTGGAAGATATATGTACAGCGCCACGACAAGGGGGAGACATGGAAGGGGTCAGTGGAAGATATATGTACAGCGCCACGACAAGGGGGAGACATGGAAGGGGTCAGTGGAAGATATATGTACAGCGCCACGACAAGGGGGAGACATGGAAGGGGTCAGTGGAAGATATATGTACAGCGCCACGACAAGGGGGAGACATGGAAGGGGTCAGTGGAAGATATATGTACAGCGCCACGACAAGGGGGAGACATGGAAGGGGTCAGTGGAAGATATATGTACAGCGCCACTACAAGGGGGAGACATGGAAGGGGCAGTCACTGGATGTACATACACCACCACTGAAGTAGGGCAGTGGAAGTTGTGGTTAGCCGTACCTGGTAAAATATGCGCAGCTTCTGCCGAGGATCAGTGGAAACATCCTTCTCTCTCTTCGATGGAAGATCGGAGGACACAGACTCCTTCACTGCTGGAAAAATCACAGAAAGTCTGACTGAGCAGCTAACAACGATCACATCTCACCTTACCAACCCGGAGATTTCTTCACTCCAACTAAATCCAGCAGCAGCATTCAGTCTTTATAAAGCACTTTTAAAATGAGCCCACAGGCAGCCTAAATCTAGCAATCAATGAAAAGGTTGAAGTTCCTTCCTACAAAACACTATTGTGCACATATTAGCACGATCCTGCCAATCAGAGGAGACGGGCTGTGTTCCTATGGTAGTCTGGAAAGGGTTTTCTAGTACACAACACGGCTGGCCATCTCTGCTCCCATCTACCAGGCTCACATTTCATCCATCGTGCCTCACACATCTAATACTACAAGCAATCGCTCATGCAGCCAGCATATCCCAGCAGAGGATTTCCCTTCATGATGACATAGGAAAACACAGCTGCTATCCCAGGAAGTCCATCTACTTTTAGATGAGTTATTTCCATACAAGAAATACGAAAGGGTTAAAGTGGATCTAAAACTATAGTTTACAGCCCTCAGATAAAACAGGAGAGCAAAAAAAAATAGACCAATAAGGTATAATAGGGCAAAAAGTGAACATTCACACACAATGAATGATGCACGGCAGAGGCAGTCCCCATAATTAGACAATTGGTCAATAACTATGTCTGAGTCGCAGACACTTCAGAAAGAAAGGAGTGGGAGCGCCGAAGCAAAAAAAAAAACAATCAAGACGAGAGCAGCGCAAAGCACTCCACATTGTAGCAAGCAATGAACAAGTACTCCTTCTAGACAATCGTTTCATCCAACCACAGCTAGGACAAGGGGGTCTGGAGGGCAGTTATCTGACCATGGCCAGAACGAGGGGGCAAATCTAAAAGGGACATCTGACCATGGCCAGAACGAGGGGGCAAATCTAGAGGGACATCATCTGACCATGGCCAGGAAGAAGGGGGACCTGGAGGGACGTCACCTAACCACAGCCAGGATAGGACAAGAGGAGTCTGGAGGGACGTCACCCGACCACAGCCAGGATAGGACAAGAGGGACGTCACCTGACCACAGCCAGGATAGAGCGAGGGGATCTGGAGGGACGTCACCTGACCACAGCCAGGATAGGACAAGAGGGATCTGGAGGGACGTCACCTGACCACAGCCAGGATAGGACAAGAGGAGTCTGGAGGGACGTCACCTGACCACAGCCAGGATAGAGCGAGGGGATCTGGAGGGACGTCACCTGACCACAGCCAGGATAGAGCGAGGGGATCTGGAGGGACGTCACCTGACCACAGCCAGGATAGAGCGAGGGGATCTGGAGGGACGTCACCTGACCACAGCCAGGATAGAGCGAGGGGATCTGGAGGGACGTCACCTGACCACAGCCAGGATAGAACAAGAGGGATCTGGAGGGACGTCACCTGACCACAGCCAGGATAGGACAAGAGGAGTCTGGAGGGACGTCACCTGACCACAGCCAGGATAGAGCGAGGGGATCTGGAGGGACGTCACCTGACCACAGCCAGGATAGAGCGGGGGGATCTGGAGGGACGTCACCTGACCACAGCCAGGATAGGACAAGAGGAGTCTGGAGGGACGTCACCTGACCACAGCCAGGATAGAGCGAGGGGATCTGGAGGGACGTCACCTGACCACAGCCAGGATAGGACAAGGAGTCTGCAGGGACGTCACCTGACCACAGCCAGGATAGAGCGAGGGGATCTGGAGGGACGTCACCTGACCACAGCCAGGATAGGACAAGGAGTCTGCAGGGACGTCACCTGACCACAGCCAGGATAGAGCGAGGGGATCTGGAGGGACGTCACCTGACCACAGCCAGGATAGGACAAGGAGTCTGCAGGGACGTCACCTGACCACAGCCAGGATAGAGCGAGGGGATCTGGAGGGACGTCACCTGACCACAGCCAGGATAGGACAAGGAGTCTGCAGGGACGTCACCTGACCACAGCCAGGATAGAGCGAGGGGATCTGGAGGGACGTCACCTGACCACAGCCAGGATAGGACAAGGAGTCTGCAGGGACGTCACCTGACCACAGCCAGGATAGAGCGAGGGGATCTGGAGGGACGTCACCTGACCACAGCCAGGATAGGAAAAGAGGAGTCTGGAGGGACGTCACCTGACCACAGCCAGGATAGGAAAAGAGGAGTCTGGAGGGACGTCACCTGACCACAGCCAGGATAGAGCGAGGGGATCTGGAGGGACGTCACCTGACCACAGCCAGGATAGGACAAGGAGTCTGCAGGGACGTCACCTGACCACAGCCAGGATAGGACAAGGGGAGTCTGCAGGGACTTGCTGTGTCTTCAAGATATACTTACTTTTATTGTGGATTGCCTACTATACTAAGGAGCAGCTTGCATTGATCTCCCTGATTAACCATCAAAAACAACGTAGATCTAAATAAAGTTTTTAAATAAACTTAACATATTAATTTCATTATAATTATAAATATTTCATGAAATGAATCCATGGTGATCCTGCAATGACGGTCGTTGTTCAGGCGCTTCCTGTTATTGGGTGACAACGCTTTGTCTCTCAGGTCTCCTGCCACTGGTGGAGACTACAAGTGGCATTGTTGACACATTGCTCAGGCACGGTACACTGCTATCAGGAAGCCGGACCAGAGCCATGATGAGCATCTGACTCTGGAGAGAGTGCATGTAGACAGGAAGTGGCTGAAAGGAGCTGCAGGAGGTCTCACCTATAGTCTGTGCAGGTTTGACCGCTGTTGGCCTGTGTTCCTGGAGGACACTTTCAGAGTTGCGTGTTGCTAGAGGTTTGGCAATTGGCGCGGTGGATTTATCTGGTGTGTCACTTGTCCATCGTAAAGTGAAGTGTAAGGTTGGGCCTTGAGAAAAGGTCTCAAAGGGAGGCAACCGCTGAAAAAGACATGGAGAAGTGTCAGGGCATATGTATAGAAAGGAGGTCAAGGGGTAAAGAAAAAAAATGTGCATTAAAATCCTTCTATATTCAGCTCTGCAGAGCATTGCAACCACAATCAGTACACTGCCGGCGCAATGCTCAGGCTCCTGCAGACTTGTCCCCGTACCTAGGTCTGTAAGGGTAAAATTGCAGCTGAATTACAGAGGTTAGGGGGGAAGGGATTGTCTTTCCCATTTGCATCACTGGCAGATGGGACTTGTAGTATAAAAATGAGAACAAAAAACAGACTCGTGTGGCTGTATGGTCAGAGCCATTCACAGCTGTGCCAGATACCAACAGAATACTGCTGGAGGATGCACCCTACCATTCAGGTAAAGGGGAGGCAGAGTGAGTTTTGGGGATGGGGTATACAGCCATGTTTCATGGTAAAGTGTAACATGGGAAATATCATAGGTGTGCTCTAATGAAGGAGCACAGACGTCTATCTCTGCCTCTTCAGAATGGTCAGTCATCACATCGGCCATACCTTGCCATCCAAGATGGTCTCCCATGTAGCCCTCTTCTTACTGACGGGACACTCTTCCATCTCTTGCATGGCGACTTCATATTCACCGTCCAGTAGCTGGAGACGCCTGGAGCCGGGAGAATAGAGTCAGAGCTGGTGGAGGAGACCATTAAACAGGATATGGCAGATGGTTTCCTCACCTGTTCTTGTCAAACACCGTCATCTGGGCCACAAATGTCTTCTCCTCATCCCGGTGGGAGGCATTGCGTTTGCGTCTGGTCGGAGGGTCTTCTGTGACATCTGATGTGTTAGAACAAAGGGGGCAATGTAAGCAGATCTACATTAGGGCTGAACAAGTGGCTACATTCCATCTAAAAGATTGAAAGATCCAGAATCTTAACTACATGGAATAAGCCCAGAACAAAATCACTTCTCATCACATGCACCACAGCGATGATGTCAGCTTACCCCCCCGGACCAGCATGAAGGTCACCAGGCACTGTAAGGGTTACCGCATCAGCCACTTCCTAGCAAACCGATAGCATGGGACTTGGGGCTGATTAAACGCAGGTAAAACAAAGTTCCCAAATTAAACTATATATACCAAATGCCTCAGTAATGGGAAGAGCTGGCACCTGTGCTATCAGGTAGAAACAGGAACACCATTCTCTACTTAAGCCGGCCATACACCTATAGAATCTCTGCAGACTTTCTATGGTCAGATGAAAAAAGTGCAACAGATTCCTCCATCTAGACGGATAGAGGAATCTCCGGCTAGTCGGCCCTGCTGGCCCTCAAAATCCCTGAACAATGCCGGCATGCAGTCACATTCTTCAGGTATTGAGAGCCAGCGGGGCCGACTAGCACGATACTGAAGCTTGGCCCAGCGGGTGATTCTCCATACACACAGCTTAGCGTGGATCGAGTCATCTGTGGCACTTCATCCATCTGACCATAGAAAGTCTAGAGGTGTACGGCAGGCCTAAGTCATGTTCTTAACATGAACTCCCAACAAATCAATTCTATGCATCAAGCGTCATGGCCGTCTTACCTTCTGCTGTTCTGTGAGAACTTCTGAGTGCTAGATGGGAGGGTCTGACTGCTATAATCACATAACCATTCCCAGTCTTGTGATAAGACCAACTCCTGTGAAAAGCAGCAAGCCAAACACAGGAGCAGGAACATTACTAAGGAAATTCTGTACCATACCCCCAGAAAGATTTCCTGTAGTGGTCACAAAGTGACATTTCAATTTTAGTCAGTTTTAGAAAATCAGATGACTGTAGGCTGAAATAGAAAGGCGTTTAATCATCACATTTACCACCAACATCTTATAGTAACTGAATTAAACACAAGCCCTGCAAGCAGCGGTATATGCAGGTCATGTCTGAGGGACCGGCTCAGGCAATACACACCGATGTTCTCATTGGTCTCTCCGTTGGACAAGCCGTTGTAGTCGCGGTGACACTGCCGGGTGACTCGGAAGAGCAGTGAATAGGATTTCACCATGTGGCTGTTGCTGGGTTCAAACTCGTTGCTGGACACGGCCAGTGAGGGGAAGCCGACAGGCTTTGAAGAACTGAGATCAGGATTTAAAGGCACCTGCTTCTTCCCGGTGGGGACTTGTCTTATAGGGCAGCTCACGTCCTGCATAGGGAACAAAGTCACAGGTGAACCTTCCACACAGACAATACCTCCTCATCAATGACAGAGGGGCCGCGGCAAGGACATGACCGTACGCAGCCAACTATTTAGTTACCTTGCGCTTTTTGTGACAGACTTTGACCAGGAGAACCTCCAGTGTGACCGAGCTTTGTTCATTCTCAGAGTTCTGAGCGGGTTTGTCTGAAAGAAAAGCCATTTATTAGTCACTGAGCAGAACCGGCACCAAGCGTTGTGTGACCCTACACCATACATACCACTTTTATGGAAGAAGCCAGTGAATGTCAGCTGCAGGTGAGCAGAAAGGCTGAAGGAGAAAGAAAGTCACAAATGAGGCACATCGGAGTTATAGAAGGAAACTACAACTCTCCCCGTTCCCCAACATGACCAGAATAAAATGGCGGCTCAGAAATAAATGGGATATTACAAGTACTATTTGAAATGGACATCAAGAGAACTATAAACCATTGAACTCTTTCACAACATTATAGGGCCCTGAACATTCATCTCTGCGGAGAAGTGACAGAACTCTCACCATATTCACACATGCAAACCACTGCAGGACAGACGGATGACATCACCCATCATCCTCAGGGAGATACCTGCTCATTTCTGCACATACACATCAGAGACGTACATACAGCACCGTAATGCACAATTACCTGTCGATCTCATGGTCTCCTTTCATTTTCTCCACCTTCAGCAGCATATCATCAATCTTAAAGGGTTTCCTGAACATGAATATGGAAAACCCATTAGAATATTTACTCAAACAGAACCCAGCCATGACCAATATACAAACTATACTCCACGTGTCCCATCCCCTGCAGGTCAGACATGGAAAGGTGAATCTAGGAGCCAACAGTGGCCTCCTGGTCAGTGCAATTGGTCCGGCCAGGATTAGAAGGGGGTCACTATGTACACGGAGATGCGATGGCAGCACACGTGTTCTCACATCTGAGGACAAGGCGTGTATCACTTTGGAGAATTGGCCACGGTAAGAGCAGCCTATAACAGCAGGATTTAATGACTACCACCTGAACAGATTAAGACCGTGAGATACCAGACTGGTTACCATATGCCAGATAAGCAAATATCAGGTTATAAATGAAGATGTGATATCACCTATTTCCTGGCTCACCTCATGTCGGCACCGTATGGGTCAGCTCCTCCCCCTCTGACCCCACAGGACCACCTTTAACAAGCTGATAAATAGGCGATCCCCTCCGCTATTACCTTGTTCTTTTTTCCTCGCTCCAGGCCACAGAATCTCATGGACAAATGTGGATCCTCCCTACTGCCTCCCAGCCGGGTTCAGCCTGTCCCGGTGTTGGTTGACCCCTCTGAGGGTAGTAAACCTCCCAAACGAGCGGGTGCCTTTGGTGCAGGGCTATGGTGTACGGGGTAAAGTTCCGTGAAGAGCTTGTTGGACGGGGGAGACGGCACAACAGCTGCGTCTTGCATGGCGACTCGTCTGCCAGGTTTCTGCGCATGCGCCGGCGTCCTCGTGTGCGGAGGGCGGGGCTTAGCTCCGTCCCTTCCACGTAGGTTGCCGGGGTGAGGGCGGGACGCTTTGCTTGCGCAATGCGCGGTGGGGCATTTAGATGGCGGTTTCTCGGCGGCAAATTTCAACGAGATTCGTTTTCTGTCAGCAGTGCTGTTGAAAGTCCAGCGTGGGTGACAACCATGGTTCCTTCCATAGATACAGTGGCGGAGTACGCGTTGTCACCCTCTGATAGGAAGTGTGTTATTCTCAGTAGGGATGCGCCGATACCGGTACTTCTGCTAGCATGGAGCCGGCTTCCCAGGCAATCAATAAGCCAGGCGGCGTTTCATTACCCACTGCCCGGCTTCTTCTTCTTGATTGCCCGGGATGTTGGCTCCATGCCGTATGGCTGGCTCAATGCTGATTGGCCGGGAAGCTGGCTTCATGTTCCCTCGCTGCACTGCCGGCAGGGCCGGTGCTAGGATTCTTGCCTACACAGGCAAGGTGCATTTTTGCGCCCCCCTCCCCTACCCTACCCTACCCC